TTGAAAGACAAAACAATCTCTCAATTTCAACAATTTCTCTATTGAAAATTAAAATTTATTTTCATGCAAAAATGTTGAGTTATTTCTGTCTCATGGGTGAACTCATTGTCGTTAAAGAAAGTARTTATATACAAGGGGAAACGCAGTCTAAACTCAGTGAAGAGCTAGAGATCAATCGGACCGCAGGGCCTCTTCGTTGGAGAGACCTTCCTGTTTGTTTTCCTTTTTCATTCCTTTGAATCAAGAATATTCGATAGAATTGCATACATATTGTTGTATCATTTCGAACGTTATCGGACAACAAAGAAATGAGAAATGATCCTCAAGACAATGACTCGTGTTTTGAAGTTGTAAGCATTTAAAACAGATTGCCCTTTCGTTCTCATAGATACAAACAGTATATAAATTACAGCAGCTTTAAGATCGTCCCTGTCCAGTGCTATCCTTTGCCAAATGTTTTCTAAATGGCACCAAAAATATAGACTCGATTACTCACAAGGTTGGGCCTTTTGTCCGTTATTTTCTACGAGCGGCAAAATAATGCTGGAAAAAAGGCCTTCACTTACGCAGAAATTTTCTATTTTTCTCCAAAAGATAAGCGGAATAACTGCCTTAAAATTCAATCGCTTTATAGTGCTGTGTGCTATCGGCAAGACGACTAGGAATCATACGCTTGCCAACAACAGTACTGGGACGAATCAATAGAATAGAACACATTAGTCAAATAGAAGACACCATAGTCGACAAACCATTTCAAATGAGAATCATCCACTATGACTTGAAAAGATAAAAAACTAGAGATGAATTATTATTCAACAAGAATGTTTATCTGTCGTCATTAAGCCAAAATTCGTACGTGTTTTTGCCCCCTTTGAGCTTTGCAGACCGAGAAAAGATGATGCTATGTGATAAAAACACTCTCTGACGTTCAATTCAAATACCTTGTGCAGAATTCATAATGGGTGGTTTTAGTATTCATGACACAAACCAATGACATCTAACATTTTTTCTGCATCGCGTAGGTATTTCAACATACATATTGTCATACAGTATCTTTACGTTTTTGACGTCCAACTGTAATGAAAAATGAAAAAAAGTGATGCACAATATTCACGGTTCTAGTTTTTTCTTTGAAACTCTGCTTGAGAGAATACTCTGAAATTACTGTCTTTTTATATCCCTTTTCTTTCCTGTTGTCATTCATGATCAGTTGTATCTGATCAGTTGTGTGCTCTTGAAAAGAATATAACATTTATTAAGGTTTGCAGTTTTTTGGTTAGTTCATACTTCTCCATTCGCCTTTCTAAGCTTGCTTTTTCCGCTATCTTTAACAACAAGTTATACATATAAAAACATTAAAACACAACAGAAACCATTCTTAACTATTGATATATTTTGAGTAAAAGATATTACTTTACACAGATTAAGGTTCTGAAAACTGATTAAATAAATTCAGGATTATCATTTCCTAAGGGAATTGTTTTCCATAAATGTAACCACAGATTAAAAAAGACATTCTGCTGGGTACGGATTAAGGAATATTACATCAAGTGGTTGGCTCACAGCTTAGCGAGGATTTATATAAACCCATAATTGCGTATTACCTACAGATAACGAAGGTGAAACATCTGCTTAATGAGTAATGATAATCGAGCACTTGTCTTGGTATACCTGTGGCGCTAGTGAGTACGTACGTACCGCTCTTTGGCTTTCGGGTCATTTTGTCTTCCTTTATCATGATCATGTAATATAGTTCAGCTATTTAAAAAAATACTTCATTAAGATGTTAAAATTGAAGGCAGATATAAAACAAACGCAAATAGCGAAACAGAGCAAAGTATGACTAAGCCGGTGAGAGATTCTTCTGGGCCTAAGATTCATAGCCGGCTTTTAAGGAATTTTAAAAATTCCTATCGACTTCTCGCTGACTCATTCCATCTTCTCTCTCTTCTGTATACTTAGCAGTGAGAGAGAAAGGAGGAACGCCCTTTTCATTGAGGAAAATAATTGGCCACTTCAGTCTTGGAACATGCAAATGTTGATGTAGTCGCGTGACCTCGATGCTCCATTCTTGCCCCTGCAAATGTTAATGCGTGACTTCTTTTCGGGACGTTTGCACAGATGCGTGATCCTGTTTGGGAGATATTCTGTTCATTGTCGCGTGATGTAACTTTTATTTGGTTAGGGCGTGACTTATTTCTTAGAATGCTCGGGTACGCCCTTATCGTCATTTATGTTGCGTGACTCTTTTGGGGAGCGTCTGTACAGCGTCTTTTAAGCATTTCGTAAGGCACGTTTGCTTTGATTTGTAAAACGTTTGTGTTGCGTGACATCTTAAGCGTGATGTTTACAGTAAATGCTTGGTGGCAAGTACCACTCATCCGAAGATTGTATTTTAACGGAGTTTTTAAAGTTAAAAAGACAGTCAAGTTAATGATATTTAGTTCCAATTGAAAACACGACTGGGAAACCGCCATCTGCGATATACATACAGTACGGGATTCCATAATTTTAACTACAAATAAAATATCAATATATATGAATTACTTACTGCTGTCCCCAGGCAAGAGTGGGTATTCGTAACTATTGTTCGAGATAAAAAAATTCGCTGAATATTACAGTTCTTGTGACAAAAAAAGGACTAAAGCATTTGACAAGTATGGAACAAGTCAATCTAGTTTGTAGACATTATTCCGTATAGCGACGATGCGAGTTATAATAGCTTCTAAATGACCGCAGATTAGAGATGAATCCATCATTTTCATTTGTTTGAAGGTCGAGAAAAAGTATGAGAAATGATCAAAGAGAATATAAAACTGTATGTTTGGCGGGTAGATTAAGATCTTATGTCAATTCAACGATCAATCAGTTGGCCGGTTTTAAATGGTTCAGACTAGTTGAAGTTGTCTTTATTGATATAGAGGCTTTGCACCATCACGTGATGGCAGCCATGACGTGGCAGAAACAACTGAATATGGTATAAACTGATTTACACAAATGTATGACTTTATTATTGTGCCTCCTGTCATGGCTGCCATCACGTGATGATGCAAAGCCTCTATAGTAAAGAAAACGAGCCAACACATCCACCAATGGGACGAAAACATTTTGGAAACAGTTTGATTCACATCCATGATTGATTTTGACAGGCAGAAAAATGACGAACAAATGACAGGTCGAGTCTTGAACGGTCGTTTGTCATGTCATTTTTCTATGTTTCTAGACAACTCTAGCCTGCGTCACATCCGGAATTTTTTTCGTATTTACGAAGAAAATTTCGGATGTGACGCAGGCTAGACAACTCTACAGCTTCATAGAAAATAGCTATGATTAATTTGGAAACAACTTTTGAAAATTTTAGTCGCTGCAGGCAAGGGCCAATATTTAGCCYAACAAACTACTAAGTGAATGAAGTAAAGGGAAATCCATAGCCAAGGTACTGAAAGAGGGCTTCTATTGGACAATTTTAGACAGTTTTCTTAAGCAAAAGTCTTGGAAAAGCAACTCGGATTTTTTTCCTCGTTGAACTATAAGCCTGGATATAAATACTAAGTGATCGAGATGCAACAAACGACAACAAATGACACCAACACCGCTGCCCAATTGAAATATACTTACTAGCTACCTGTACAATTCAAAATTCGATGTTTGTCAAATAAGATTAAGACGAAAAGCAGTTTTAATTGAAACCAATACTATATTTTATTCATTTTCGAGTATCTTCAAATCAAACGTGTTATTCTTAGGATAGGATGAAGCATATCTGATAAAAGATCACTCAGTAGCAAGATCTGATACCACTTCGCTTTAAGAAATTGAATATATTTTTGACCAACACTAATCCGGTACCTACTAATATTATCTAACTCAAGCTGAAAAAGTTCATCACTGGCTAGATTATTCAACGTAGTAGCAAGTGTTGGATGATTTTGATCATTCTCTACTTTCACATCCCCATAATGCCTTACGACTTTGAGGGGTAACCAATCAAAAAACTATCCCAAATTGAAAAGTATAAATTGAATTTATACTTTTCCTGCTTTTATCTGTACAATACTGAATATCAGTTTATTCCAAGTTATTTTTGCGTGTACAGGTCATCAAGAGTTTTGGTCTTACAGGAAATGCATTGACTTCCAAAACTATGTTTAAAGAGCTACTTGGACAAAAATCGCTCCAAAATTAAAACTCTTTCATTTGAGCCGAAACTTTGCTGAAATAATCTTTGATACATTAATAATCACTCACTGAAATGTCTTATGATATTCGAAAGAAAAGTGCCGAAATTTTATGGTTGATTTTCGTCCGCCATTAATTTGTTTGCATGTCTCACGGCCAAAGAGTCATTATGTACAGCGGTTTCTCTCTGTGACGTCATACATGCAACCCATTCAAGTTTTAGTGTCGCTTTCACCATACATTTCTTGTTCGATTACCTGAAGTTTATTTGATGTTTAACGCGTTATCGTGAAAAGAATGAACTCAGTAAACTTTTTTTAAAGCTTTGATCACAGGTAGCCCAAGCTTGGTTTCTGTGGTGTCCTGTTATAAGGAAATGTATGGGGATTCATCAAAAATTTCAATAAAATCATCAAAACGTGAAATAAAGCCTCGNTTGCCAACAACAGTACTGGGACGAATCAATAGAATAGAACACATTAGTCAAATAGAAGACACCATAGTCAACAAACCATTTAAAATGAGAATCATCCACTATGACTTGAAAAGATAAAAAACTAGAGATGAATTATTATTCAACAAGAATGTTTATCTGTCGTCATTAAGCCAAAATTCGTACGTGTTTTTGCCCCCTTTGAGCTTTGCAGACCGAGAAAAGATGATGCTATGTGATAAAAACACTCTCTGACGTTCAATTCAAATACCTTGTGCAGAATTCATAATGGGTGGTTTCAGTATTCAAGACACAAACCAATGACATCTAACATTTTTTCTGCATCGCGTAGGTATTTCAACATACATATTGTCATACAGTATCTTTACGTTTTTGACGTCCAACTGTAATGAAAAATGAAAAAAAGTGATGCACAATATTCACGGTTCTAGTTTTTTTTTGAAACTCTGCTTGAGAGAATACTCTGAAATTACTGTCTTTTTTATATCCCTTTTCTTTCCTGTTGTCATTCATGATCAGTTGTATCTGATCAGTTGTGTGCTCTTGAAAAGAATATAGCATTTATTAAGGTTTGCAGTTTTTTGGTTGGTTCATACTTCTCCATTCGCCTTTCTAAGCTTGCTTTTTCCGCTATCTTTAACAACAAGTTATACATATAAAACGTTAAAACACAACAGATACCATCTTAACTATTGATATGTTTTGAGTAAAAGATATTACTTTACACCGATTAAGGTTCTGAAAACTGATTAAATAAATTCAGCATTATCATTTCCTAAGGGAATTGTTTTCCATAAATGTAACCACAGATTAAAGAAGATATTCTGCTGGGTACGGATTAAGGAATATTACATCAAGTAGTTGGCTCACAGCTTAGCGAGGATTTATATAAACCCATTTATTGCGTATTACCTACAGATAATGAGGGTGAAACATCTGCTTGATGAGTAATGATAATCGAGCACTTGTCTTGGTATACCTGTGGCGCTAGTGAGTACGTACGTACCGCTCTTTGGCTTTCGGGTCATTTTGTCTTCCTTTATCATGATCATGTAATATAGTTCAGCTATTTGAAAAAAATACTTCATTAAGATGTTAAAATTGAAGGCAGATATAAAACAAACGCAAATAGCGAAACAGAGCAAAGTATGACTACCATCACACACAAGGAAAAGGAGAACATGAGTAGCAGCAGGTTGCCTCTTCTTGATAAACAAATTCCTCAGATACTTTAGCATATCATCTTGTAAATTTTTGAATGCTTTCATCACGTCTCTTGTACGTGGTGGATTGGGATCCAGCATTCCTACCATTGATTCCAATTTGTCCTTAAAACCTTGTGCCTGTTGTAACAGAGTGCTGTATTCAACTCTTTCCCAGCATAAGGTTTTCAACATTTCAGCTGAGGTAGTTGGGCAGTGGAATTTCTTACGATATGCTTCCTCTGCCAGTACCAGCCCATTTGCCAAGAACCTTATATCCAACTCCAGGAAATCAACTTGCTTTTTTATGTGATTTTCAATGCACTGTCTATCTTCTCTGAGTTCTTTAGCTTGACATTCTTCTCTTATCATAATCTTTCCTCAGTTGCTGAAGCCTGTAGTCCCCCAGATCCACATCTCCATTCCAGGTTCCCTTTACAGACTCTTGGAGAGCAGCACTGACATCAAATGCGTCGGCTTTAATCCAGAAACGCCCTTTGGGATTGGATGCTTTCAGCTGCTTTAGTGCCTCAACCTTTGATTTATATTCAGAAATCAGGGTTAAGGGAAAATATAGAAACATTCTTAAAATTTTAATCAACCTTAAATACACGTAATGTGATTATTGATATGGTAGTACATTTATGGATTTGTGTATAATTTTTTTTCAGACTTACTTGTATCTTAGGTTCAACAACAAAATCAGATACTGCTGCCTTCTTTTGAATATTCCTTGTGCTTGGTCCAGCAACATTAACCTTTGCCTACAGCAGATAATTAAGTATTGGTTGGTTGGTTGACTGGTTGATTGTTTGACTAATTGATTGATAACAACATGTATGTAAAAGGCTAATAGGTCTGGTAGTTAACACATCCAGTGCTCTACACTAACACTAGTCCACTAGTCTGGGCTAGTGAAAATTAGGGAAAACTATCCAAAGTCTAGGTGAGGTTTTTAGATTACTAATTACAGTATCTGGGCTAGGAGATTACTATGCAGAGTAACTGGAATTATATGTTTACTATGTCTACTAGTATGGGAATGAGTTAGTGTCAAGTACTATGACATCACTTTTAAGACCTTAGAACTAAAACTTACATGAAGAGGGTTTTTTGACAATTCTTGGTTAGTACCGCTCCACATTGGGCCTCTAAATAGTCTGTTGAATCGGTTGGGAAACTCAGCACACATTGTTTCATGCCACATATGGTAATCATCTGGGATCCTGATCTAAAAGCAAGCAAAAAAAAAGATCAATGTGACTACATACATATTTACAACAGATAATAAAGTCCTCGCACACCAATTGGCTGGTTTTTTTTATCATCTATAAGAGGACAGACAGATAACACCCAGATACACAGATACACCCAGGTTTGGGAGAAGTGTTTTTATTTTACAGGCCATGTGTCATTCCCCAAAGTATATTTCTTTGTTAAATGGTTGAGCATCAGAAAACTCATACTATTGATACAAAACAGATAACCTTATTCTCAAGAGAATGACATGTGTTCCCTAATGGGAAAACATTATGCCCAAGCCAAAGAGGTCCATTGCATCATTGTACATTGTAAAAAAGTAGTATATGGATCCCTTGCGGATTCACACTACTTTGGAAATGAGATGACACTTTACAATAATGCAAGTCTATTTGTTAATTTAGAAACATCTACAAAGAACTGTTTGTTTTTCCAAATATGGAATTGAATTTTCCCCCATGTAATTAATTATTACCTGTGTTATGTTTGTGCAACTAAAGAATTCTATCTGGTATTCCACCAGGCCAAATGGCATTCTTGTGGGGTCAAACAAAGGTCTGCTAATTCCTGGAGGGTTTGTAGCTAAGCAGTATGCAAACTTGTATAGAAGGTTGGACTTGCCATGTTCCTCCAGTACCATTATTGCCTTTAAAGCTAAACTGGCGAAGTTAGATGGGTTTGTCGTTATACAAGCATCATTTGCCAATTTAAGAAACAGTGTATTTAACTGTATGGGTGTGCATGGTTCACATATCTGGGCTGACTGCTGATCTTTGTCATGCATTTCCACTGTCTGTGTATTTTTGTGGACACCTCTTGTCTTGAGTGGCTGGATATTATCAATTGCCATGCAACTACCAGTAACAGGTAGGTCAAGTTCTGTCTCAGCTTCCTCAATGGTTTTGAATTTCCCCCTCAAAGTATTGGTGACACGTGATCTCACTCTTGAATCTAAAATATAAATAATAATATTATTCATAATACATATTTGCATTCCAAAATAGCAGTCCATCACAATAACTATAGTGCTTTTTTCATAATGTATCTCGTAATAACTTACTTGCTAAAAGAAAATTTGAATTGGTGTCAGTGTTTTAATGTGAACTGCAGCATCTGACCAAAATTTATGTGATGATCTGAATGATGGCCAAGGTGTTGGTGACAAATCAAAGTCAAACTCATAACTAGGATCAGTTCTTGCTACTCCAATAAACTCAAAGGCTCTGTCTTCTTCAAGAGACCATTTGTGTAGTTTCACTGGCGACTTTAAGGGCATAGGTCCTTTTCTTGTGGTAAATGATGGGATCTAAAAAAATCATTATATGAAATGAGCAGACTTAATTGAAACTTATGTGAGGTTGATAGGTTTCTTACCTTTGGACTAGAGGTCGGGTCACCAAAGAGATATTTTCTAATTGGTCTTCGTAAAGGTGCCTTTTGGCTTTCTTTTCTTTGGGTTTGTGTGGTGTACTTCCATCAGGAACCGACACACGTTTACTGGAGGTCGAACACTGATTAGCTAAGTGTTCCATTGCACAGTATGGCTAAGAAGAAGAAAAAACCAATAGAAAAGGTGAAAATGCGAATATGAGGCATATGTTTGATTTATAAATATAGAGTGATCGGCATGATGAAGCTTTAAGAGTGGCTGTCCGTAACGGTCGAGAATGGCGGGACAGCGAAGGAATTTTCAAATTTCTCATATTTTGTCAGAAGACAACCTTTGGTAAGCTCTTTTAAAAAATCCAGTTTAAAACTTCGAGCGCTTTTTTATTTTGGCGAATTTTACGAAAATCTAAAA